AGCTGTCCTCTTTAAACTCAAAGTAATAGTTTGACATTTTGCTTCTTAGTCATTTGTAAACTTTTTACTCTTCAGGGCCTGAATTCTTTTGAACTGTTCTCCTGTTACAAGTAAGAGTGAACTAAAAAGGTCAAAAAAGCTGTTGTATAACAAAAATCTTCGTTCCATTTCGTAAACATATCAAGAGGTAACACTGCATATTAGTGAATCCTCAGAGTCTTTCCTCTTAATGTTACCCATCTCAGTAGCAGCCAAACATTGATCTTGTTCTGGTCCCAACTCTCTAATGACTGCTGACTGCACCCCATCGACGCCAGTGAGGAGCTCTGTGTTTAATTGACGAGAGGGATCGTGTTCTTGCTCCCTCCTTTGACAAAGCAATCTGTCCACTAAAGATGACAGAGGGCTGTTATTCTCTGGCAACCGCAAAGAGTGCTTGTCCAAGCTTCTTGCCATTTAGAGGTCAAACTGGCAGTGCTGATGTTGAAGAATTCGGCATTTGACTCAGCTGCCACTGCTTTGGCCATCATAGTTTTCCCCATTTCCAGTAAAAACAATAGTCTAGCTGAAACCTACAAAGACTGAACAAACCACACATAAAGATTGTTTCTCATAACTTGCCCAGATTTTGTCTTTGACTGTCAGGAAGAAGAATAACCCTAACAACTGAGGAAACACACCAGGCAACACACTGAACGACTGGTCAGTAATGGCTGGAGGTTTGGTGAGTAAATCCTGCAAGAACGCCTCAAGTGTTGCATTTTCTTTTACCAAAAGAAGCATGGATGGCAACCAACAGCTTGCTCTATTCATATGCAGCACGATTTGCACTGAGAAGGTCAAAGAAGGAGGAAAAACGTACAGAGTTTGGATGGAGAGGCTTGGGCAACGCAGCCTATAGAGGGAATAGGAGTTGCGTGAACCTAAAACGAAGCAAACTTCAGGTGAAGCCCTTTATCTACCGACATGTGCCCCACTGGTAACACAAAAGTGATGTCATCGGCTGCTGATTTCAGTCGCAAATATCAAAAAGTTCTTTATGAAAACAATTGGCATCAACTGAATCTGAAGACTTAAGATTCCAGTGTTTACATATCACAAACTATATGATTTACAGACTGTCAACACCAAGTGACCCAAACTGCAACAAACCCAGTTTAACTCGGTCCCATCAGTCATCACACATTTAAAAATGCACAAATCTGATTCATAACCAGCTCAATGGTCGGTTCCAACTCTGCTCTTCCTGCTATGACAAGTCAATATGTCTATAGTGCAAAGAAGTCTAATGGCTCCTTTCAGAGATTTAAATTGTTGTTAATTTAAAACTGAACTGCCAGATGAAGACGACCTTTTCCATCTGAAAAACTGTTATTTATATACAGTTTATATTTATATATAGAGTATATACAATATTTACAGTCTGTTCCCATGAGAAACTCCAACGCCACCTGGACTCGATTGTGTATATGTGTGTATGTGTGTATTTGGGAGGGATAGTGCTGAATTAAAAAGAACTGCCGACACCAATTTCAGATACAGAGCGTATGAGTATTTATTGTACTTTGTACTGCAAATTCTGAACTCCTGGTTGTATATAATGGAGCGGCAGGCAGGAAATGAAGAGAGACAGAGGGGGGTGATGTGCAACAAAACTTCCCGGCTGTATTTGAACCAGACATGCAGAAGTTTAAATGGGAGTGAGCAGACCACAGAGACGCCCCAGGAAGTGTACCAACTGAACATTGTGTCTATTTAACCTATAATTAGTATCAGATCACACACTTCTGTCTGACTAACCTACTTGAGAATTTACTGTGATATGTCAGTTCCTTTGTAGGAAACTATTAGGAAACAATGGGACCTGTAAAATAATGCGTTAATAATAGTGCTGTTCTTCTTTCCCCTAGTGCATGCTGGGGTGGACTGCAGCCTCTGTGACCATATTAGGAAACAGGAAGTGTAGAGTAAAGATGGATAGATGGATGGTTTTGATTGTAGCTGTAATTGAAAATGTGCTGAATCTGAATCTGACCAACATCATTTGCTTCTGTAGGTCTGTTTTGTGTTCATCAGCATGGTTCATGTTATCTGCTGATCAGCCACAGGGAGGCCTCAGTAAACGCCTCCACTTCAGCTCCTGACAGAAGCACACTGGAAGTCTCTATTTAAATAAAACCCTCTGATACTATTTGTAGTTTATGTGAAAGATGAACTGTTATGAATAATTACTACACAGAAGAGAGAATTTGTTAAGCTGAACTGTGTCCACAGCCTCCCTGATAAACCCTGGGAAATATTGATAGATGTCAGTGTGGTGCCTACACTATTTCCTGGAAACAAAGAGGCTCTCTCAACTGCCATTTCAGGCATTAACATATGTTACAGTAACTGCTGTATGTAAGCCTGCCATTCACAGCCTGTCATTGACTTTCCAAGGTACAAAGTAGTTATGTAAATTAAGTAAAAGGAAATGACATGTGGTTGAATGCCCAGTAATTTAGAAATATTGCTGATAAGGTTTTAGGTAATTGAATAGTGTAAAAAGGGGAACTACATATTGGTTTTATGCCTCATTTTCATAGCAAGTCAAATATCTTCACACTCCTTCCTATACTGACACAAAAGTAAATAGAATAAAAGCATCAAATGTGGTAGAAAAATTTAAATAACCACAGAAAAGAAAGAATAGAAATGTGATAATGTATTGTCACGACTCACATCACGCCTTTATCACAAGTGTGTACACTTAAACTAAACTTAAACATAAACCAGCAGCAATTTGTGTCAAAAAAAGATTTTAATTTAATTCCTGTTACTATACTGTGGATATTGCATATCTATCACAGTATCCTCTAGGGTTGGACATTATGATGATGAATACCATGAGAGGATAAAAACAGGATAACAAAGGGTGGCTTAAGAAATAGCAGAGGTATTCTCCAACACTACAGTGTCCTATATAAGCTTAATTCTGCCCCAGTATCTGACACCACTCCCAGCATCTCTAGTTCCATATCCTGTTGTAAAGTCCCCTCCTATCAGGGGTATCAAGTTTTCCAGCCTTGTAGCTTTTCAGGTATAACACCCCTTCCCCTTTTGTTATATGTTTGAGGCAAGACTTATAACAACACAACTGATTCCAATTCAACCAGTCAAACCTGTATACAGGTAACCTGTTGGGACGTTTTCTTTCAGGGCTGAGCAGTTCTTATGGGTGGATAATGTCCAGGATCAGTGATGGAATTTTATTACTCCTTTAATATATAAGCAGCATTTTACTGTTGTAATTGGTTGAAATGGAACTAATTTTTTAACTATTCTGTATAGGAGAATTGATTATTTTCAATATAGATTAATCTTGATTATTTTCTTCGTCAATTAATTAATGGTCCGGTTTGTAAAAAATAACTATCAATATTCACCAGAGCCAAAAGAGACTCTCTTACAATCCTTGTTTTGTCAAACCACCATAGTCCAAACTTTAAAATGATAAAATGAAATAAAATAAATTTTATATACTGTAAGAAAAAGAATTGTAATTTGTAGAAAAGCATCATATTTTATAAAGTCTTGCTTTGTATATTAAAATGTTAATCTGTAAAGTAACTTCAGCTGTAAAAAAAAATGTTGTGGAGTAGAAAGTACAATAGTTCCCACTAAAATGTAACTGAAGTATAAAGTGGCATGAAAAGAAAATATGTTAAATACCTCAAACTGGTACTTCTGTACAGTAGGCCTATTTGAGTAAAGGTACTTTGTTACAGTGCATACAGAAAGTATTCAGACCCCAGACTGGACACTTCACCCATCTGGGCTTTATGGCAGATCATCCTGATGGTGAAAGTTTGCAACAACAAAAAAGAAAAGCATCTAAAGGATTTTCACATTGCAAGAAACAGGATTCTCTGGTCTGATGAAACCAAGACTGAGCTGCCTCAAATGGTTGTCATTCTGGAGGTTTCTCCCATCTCCACACAGGATCTCTGAAGCTGAGCTCAGAGTGACGATTGGGTTTTTGGTCACCTCTGTTACCAAGGCAGTTCTCCCCTGCCTTTCCAAATCCTGCCCAATCAATTCAATTCAATTACCACAGGTGGACTCCAATCAAGGTATAGAAACAAGATGATCAAGAGAAATGGGAAGCACCTGAGCTACATTTCAATTGTCCTAACAAAGGGTAAAATATGACATATATGTCCCTATATCAATACGATGTTGCCATATATATCACCTATAAAGGGATATATTATTATCTAATATGCATCCTCTGAATATATGAAAATATAAGTTTATAACATACATGAAAAACACATAGTAAAATTTTTATATGTTGGCTACATACATTATTATAAGTATATGACGATTTTTATATGGTATAACATGTTGCAACCATATATATTAATGATATATAATTCATATATGCAATTTATTAAAACAATATATAAAAATTCTATATGTTTAAACGTGTTTTACTCATTAATTTCTCATTAATCTTAAACATGTCCATTTTCCCATTCTGGAAAAGTGACTCTTATATAATATCAACATGTATTGAAAGGCTTTAGGATGGATATATATCTATGTAACATATGTCTACAACATGAGCATACTGTATACATAAACATACATATTTTTAAGGGCAAGACATACACTGTATGTCAATATAACAAATTGTTCCAATTTATACTACGTTTCATATATCACTTTTACATGTTTTTATTTTCTATGTACATATATTTCACACGTGGGCCTATATATATTACTTTTGCGGGTGAGAATTCTTATTTACATAGGCCTAATATGTTTTTAAGAAAGTGTAAATACATTATAGACAGGCTTACTTACTTTCTATAAAAGTTTATCTTGTTCTCTATTCAAATTGAGCTTTATTTACATTTCCTTCTCATATTACACAACTATAGGTAGGACAATGATTCGCAGAGCAGGATCTCTGTCTCTCTCCCGTTGGCTGGACTGTACACGTCAGCAGTCAATGAGTTTTACCCAAGATGTATCATAGTCCCATCATCCTCTTCCTGGTATGAACGTGTTGACACATTACACCTAGCTCGGGTGAGTCAAATTAAGCTAACTGTTGCGCGTTAGCTTGTTTTTTAGTGTGGCATTACGCAAACTTGTGTATAATGCGAACTTTCTCGGTTCGCTTTTGTTCTACTTTTTTTCCCCACAGGTGCTAAAAACAAGCGGCTGAAGCGACTGTTTGTGCCAAATGACACGGTTTTCAAGTGGAGAGACAATCCCTGAGAGAGGAAAAGAAACCATCAAAGAAACGCTTGACATTTGGTTTATGACACGCGTCACGCGACGTTGGAGTTTGATTTTCTGCGCACGAGAAAACAATGTTTCAGGCAAGTTTACAATGAAGACACGCGCGACAAGGTGAATGAAAGCCATTGCTGTTCTGCTCCTGAGTCTGTTTTTACTTTGAGAAAATGAGGTTTCGGCTGGTCAAAAGGAATCTGCTCGCGCTCTTGGGTGTTTCCTTTGTAGTCGTGACTCTCTTGTTTTCAACACGTGTATTAATAGTCTCCGATAATGACACAAGTGGACCCAGTAACGTGGTTCAGGTAAACCGGGGCATACATTCTGATGAAGTGGTGAAGTTCAACTTTGGTTCGCTGCCAGAACTGACTCAGTCCGTGTACAATGCCAATTACAAGCAGTGTGTTCACAATGCGGATAAGTTTCCAGGGGAGCCTCAACTGGTGCTGGTTGTGCAGGTCCACAACAGGCCTGAATACCTCAGACTGCTTATCAAGTCACTGGAGAAAGCTGCTGAGGTCCACAGCTTCCTTCTTATCTTCAGCCATGACTATTTTTCAAAGGAAATAAATGCTATTGTGCAAGGGATAACTTTCTGCAAGGTACTGCAAATTTATTTCCCTTTCAGCACTGAGCTGTATCCCAATGAATTTCCTGGGCAGGATCCACGAGACTGCCCCCGAGACATATCCAAGGACAGCGCTGTCAAAACAGGATGCCTCAACGCAGAACACCCTGACTCCTATGGGCACTATAGGGAAGCCCACATCACTCAAACCAAACACCACTGGTGGTGGAAATTGCACTTTGTGTGGGAGCGAGTGCACGCTATGCAGGGCTACAGTGGCTTTGCAATCTTCCTGGAGGAGGACAACTACATCTTACCTGACTTTTTCCATTTTTATAAGTCGATGATAGAGTTCAGGAAGAACACCTGCCCGGACTGTGACATGCTAGCTTTGGGTAACCACAATGGCCTGACTGATTTTACCAGACTGTACAATAAGGTGCTGACCACTGGGTGGATGTCCACTAAACACAACATAGGTATGGCCATATCCAGGGAGGTGTACTATAAACTCATGGGCTGCAGCAACGAGTTCTGCACCTATGACGACTACAACTGGGACTGGACTCTGCAGCACCTCTCGGGAACCTGCATACCAAAGCCTCTCAAAGTGCTCGTAGCACAGGGGTCCAGGGTTCTTCACACGGGAGACTGTGGTCTTCACCAGAAGGAGAACTGCAGGCCAGAATGGGCCTCGCAGAAGGTCGAGGAGGGGCTTAAAATGGCCAAGGATGGCCTCTTCCCTCCATCTCTTACCCTTAATGGTGCAGAAGCAGTCGAGCACAAGGCACACATGAAGAACGGAGGATGGGGAGACATTCGAGACCATATTCTTTGCAATAACTACGCCAAACGTCTTTGAACTGTATCTTTTCTCTCAGTAATATGCATGTTCATTGCTATTCTGCAAATGTGCCATCATACACAACTTTTCAGGGGTTTAGAGGCTGTAATGTGTTGTCTTCCAAGAAATAGAACCAAATCAAGTCCAAGCATGTTGCATGTGCACAACTAGAGTTGAACTTGTTTTTAGATCTTTAATTTTCTTTTAATCACCAAAGCTGCACAGTTGCCAAAGACTTTGTTGATGTTTGTGTTGTGTATAATCCGTGCAAGCTCAGCCATGCTGTTCAATTACATGTCACCAGATTTATTTATCTCTGGGTGTCTTACAAGCCAAAACAGTGGGTTAGATTTATTGCACAGTGATGGGAAAACAGTGACCTGTAAGTGTGTGCATATACACAGAATCATTTGCAATTTTTATTTGCAGATATATTTCCTTGAGTGGAAGCGCTGCATAGGATGTTCTTTATTCACAAAAAGTTCAGTGTGTTAGTGTGTGGGGAAGCAATGTCATGGAACATTCACTCGCAATGTTTTTTTTCATGTGTGCTTTTTATGGTACGGTTTTATGTGCAAAAAAGAAAAAGCACATGTAATGTACATAGGTATAGGTATAATCAAAATGTGTATGACAATCTTCAAAATAATGGGAAGCTCTAGTTTATTGAGCAGTCGCTGTCTTTGGAGTTGACTTTCCTGTCAACGTGATTTTTTTTTACACATAATGGAGTTTGTTACTGAATGTAAACTTCAGTTTCTCTCTGTTGTAACTAGAGGTCTTTTTTCTGAGGAGAGTCTGACTGACACCACTTACTTTATCAGTCTCCTACTCTCTGATGTACTGAACCCTGGTTGCAACAACGAGAGCTTGATATTGATTTATTTTTTTGGTTGTCAGTGTAAATTTGCTTTCTGATAGGAGGAAGTGACCTTTTGGAGTCTTGTTCAAGATTTTGTTTCTGAAAACATCAGTCATGTGTGACTCTGCATTTCTATATTTGCACCTTCTTAGTTAAAAAAGAATGAATTCCATTGGGATTTTAGAGAAAAGCAAACACAGATGTTTCATTTTCTGGCATTCATTCAGTAGTTTAAAAAAAAAATATCTCACTTAAGCTGAACTTGCCTTTTTACAGTATAAAACTAAGAAAACTAACATGATCGTAATGATTCTGTTATTGCCTTCAAGCTGACCAAAAGTGCCTTTTGATACTTCCTTTGTGCCCACACCTGTGTTGAAGTGATTTTTAAAGGTGAACTGATGACATTATTGTTATTGATCTAGTACTTGTATGACTATTTGTCAATGCTGGGGACTCATGTTTGTTCTGATAGATACTTATGATTGTGTCTATTCATGAGATGTTGAGGGAAAAATTGATGGTGGATGTTAATTTCACAAAAAAATCTTAATTTTACAATTTGGTAAAATTATTGCCTCACTGTGGCATCTTGCTTGTGCCCCAGATAAGTGCCTTAACCTGATATCAGTGCATTGCAGTGTGTCTTATGGAGATTCCTGTTCAAGAAATATGAAATGAATGTGATAATAAAGTAAATGAGATTATATTTTATGTTGAAAAGCACAATACATTATGAAAGAACATGGCCTAATATGCAAAAATAAACATGATAATGACTTTCTCTGATGTGTGTATGTACAGTATGTTGTTGGATGGTTCCTTACTTGGTAAGATGTATAGCTGTTGAGAATGAGACCAACATTTATTGTTGTTTTTGCTCTTGTTCCCTCTGATCATCACTTGAAATAGCTGTTTATTTTTCACTTAATGTTTGCCAAATGGGAAAATAAAAGACGTTGAATGTTTGTATTGTCATGGATTTAAAAAAAGAAAAACTGGTAATACTTTATCCAGGTTTCCTTGAAGTGACAGTATAATTTTGTTTAATTGAGACACATTTTTAATTATTAATTATTCCAATATCTACCCTGATTCTTTTAGTCATTACGCAGCACATTAACTGAGCATAGAAAAAAAGTATAGTCAATCATCCATTATTTTAATAGTTCTTTCATGGAAATTCTTCTTAAAGTCAACAACTGCTAATGAACTCAACACAACTAACTAACTTAAACTCTAATAACACTGGTCTTTATTTTGGCTATAATCACTACTGAATTACAGTTATTTCAAGGGAACATCCAATGATATTTTAGGAAATTACAACTACACCTTTAATAAAACATTTACAAGATAACTAGTCAGACAACACATTCAATCCAGACAGAATACCACAGAATACCAGTGACTGATTTGACAGCTGTTAAAAATAGACATATCATGGCATGTTTGAAGCCTTTTGTGCTACTAAAACAAAAGACAAGCTGATCAGAGATCTGAGGTATTTTCCGGACACACGTCATGTGACTGAAGCGTGTGCTCTCATTGGTCAGCTTCTGCTCCCTGTTTATTTCCGGAAGTAAATTGTTGTCAGTGTCAGCCAGACTTTCCATAAGGACTATCAAGCCTCAAGTCTTCAACACCGTAACGACAGGTAAAAGTTGAAAACACACTGTATTTAAACGATCTCTGTCCTTTTATTTAGCTGGATAGTCAGTCAGCTGTCTTATTGTTTCAGTTAACGTTTACGTTTGTAGATGTAGCCAGTGTTAGCCGTTAGCTTTTGCTCTCCGTAGCTTACGTAATGGACTTTTGTCTACAACAGATAAACATATAATTATTAAAAACATCATTCATGTTTGCCCAACGTCACACCAGAGGCTTTGTATCAAATTTTCAGCAACTTTGGGAAGGGGCAACGAGTCTCTTGTTGGTGTGCTAACACGGTTCGCTAGGGACCGTCTCGGCAAAATGACGTTAGCCAAGATGACACATTAGCTAGCTAGTTAATGCTCCCTACTTAATGAATAAATAACTACAATGTATTAGCTATTCGGGAGACTGTCCATTCCACTGTACCCAAAGTGTGTTAACACCAGAAATGTAACTCATTGCATGTCATACTGTATCTTAAACCCTCTTTAGGTGTGCCCTCATCCCAGGATGGCACATTGGTTTCACAGAAACCCACTGAAGGCAACAGCGCCTGTGTCATTTAATTTTTATGGCGTGGCAGGGAGCCCCGCTGCCAACAAGATATGCAAGTATGTCTATCTCAATGTAATACACTGACAACAGTATTGTTGGAATGGACTGTGACTATGACAATGATCAGATACAGAACTGGTACATTGTGTTTGTCAAGTCTTCTTACCTTTTCTCATGATGATGTAATGACCATCAATTGCATACTTCTGTCAGTCATATGATCATCAGTCATCTCTTTGACTGACAAGCTGGAAATGTCTTGTTGGATATGATCAGTCCAAATACTGTAATCATCAATATAACTTAGAGTATCAGTTGATGGATATTTGTTTGACACATTCAGTGACCTTCGGACAACAAGGGCGAGACTGCTGGAGATGTTCACTGATGTCACCTGCAACCCAGAGATCATGAAAAATGCCACAGATGCATACTTTTCCCTTTTGCAAGGTATTTTTACATTCCAACAAATTAATATGTTCTTCGTGTGTTGCTAGGATTTGAATGAACATTACTATTTTTACATGCGTTGGCGGAGGAATAGCTTAAAACAACAAGTTTGATAAGGATATTGATAAAAACCATTTTGATTGGATTGTGCACAGCTTGTGCAGGGAAAATACTAATTTGTGCTCTCACCATTTTTGAGAAATGAATCATTACATTTTTAGGCATAGGCCTATTATCTTAGTACACCATTAACATCTAAATGACTCCAAAGTGGTGACTCATTCATCAGACTGTTAAATTAGACACCCGATCTGAGTAACTGATGTGAAATTGATGTGCAGTTGTAAAGGCAGTGTGCAGAAAAGGCGGCACAACTGTGTTTATGCGAAGCATAACAGGATTAACTAGTAATCATTTAGCTTGGCTTGTAACAATCACTTCACCGTGGACATTCAGAAACATTCACTTTCTTTAACTCTACTCTTGTATTTATGTTATATTTCTACTGCCTTTGCCAAAGTAGTTGGCTAAGTAAAAGATTTTCCATTAGGAGAGATAGGGAGATTTGCCTTGAGAGAGGTGGCAAACTTCTGCACACGCACTTGCAAACAGCCTATGTTAGACTGCTAAATGGTGACAACACGGTGGGTGCGTGTGTGTATTTCTTTGTGGGTGTGTGGTAGGGTCCCCTTCGTTTCATACAAGTTGAGGGTTAGTGCATATCCCAATGTTTCTCATGATACCAAATAGGTCAGGCTGAATTTTAAAGAAATGTGTGTAAATTGATCCACAAAACATGTGATGGAGCAGTGCAGCCATAAAACATCCTCAGTCCTTAGTTTTAATCTTTCACTCAGTATAAACATCACATAGCCTCAAAAAAGAACAAGCAGATAGAGACGCAATTCTGTATATGATATTGTCATAAAGTATTTAACCTTTAAGATACTTAACGGAAAGGGTTAAAAGCCACTTAATTATGCTAATAATTCACTTAATGAGCATGGTCTTAGAATGTCATTGGCTAAAAACACAGTGACTGAAAAAAGTTTTTGCAATCTTATATTGTGAACATTTATTTGACAAACACACTTCATGTATTTGAATACAGTTTAATGCAGTAAATTGTCTCTCTTTGTTTGTCTTCTGACATTGCTTTCATTTTTTTTGATTTTGCTTTGCACCTAACCAGCTGCTTCTTTTTCTTTATATATCACTGTAACATACAATAGGCTTTATCTTGTCCTTGGATGGAACTACACAGGAGAACAAGATGAGGTTCATCCAGAACTTCAAGTGGACTGACACCTTACAAGGAAACACACCAAGGTAGAAAGATGAGAATGAGTGCTGCCAGCCCCATAGTAGCTGAAAAGACACATGACGTACAAAGAACTTTTATTCATATTTAAATGATGGATCGGTGCTCTACCTAAGAGCTAGTTACCATTGCTCTAAACAAAGTATTGTACCTCTTTACAGTAGTTGCTGGAAAGTTAAGAAACTCTAAAACGAGGCATTCTGGGCAGAATTAATCACTTACTAAAATTATAAAAACATCAAAACACAGGAAGGAACCGTATTATTATTTGTGTTTCACACACAAGCATTAGCTAACATGTAAAAGTCTTCACAGCAATGTTGATTACACTGAGCCCCGTGCTTTGTACTGAGCACCTCATTAAATTGTTTGTCACAACACATATGCAGTTATTACCTAGAAAAAGTTGTTTGTACTGTGGATGAAGTCAGAGGCTCCGGCCACAGTGAACCTGTGTTGTGTAGGTGCAAATATTTAGTGTTGGTAATGTTGACTTGTTTGCATGTTTGTTTTCACATTCAATGGGGCTCAGAATATTAGAAACACTTCAATATAATGCAGCTCGGCACAACATCACCACTAACTATGACCTCAGTGCTAAAATGTGTAATTTAAATAACACATCTATGACAGTGTCAAAAAAAACCCTGAAAAATCCTAAAAGTAGAACTTAGCAGTTGTATTGAGCCTGTAGAGGTGTACCTAATAAAATGGACACTGAGTGTATCAATCTGCATAACCTGTTGTCTGTCCTCACTTCCCCTCAGTGCCCAGCAGGATGCAGTCTTTGAACTGGTCTCCATGGCCTTCAATGTCGCCCTCTGGTACACCAAGTTTGCCTCGAGACTAGCAGGGAAAGAAAAGTATGTGGTTGTTTTGTGTACATTGTTGCATTGAGTTATGTTGAATTAGTCATATATTAATTAATCCAAGACTTTTAAATTGTGCATCGCTTCTTGCTCCTCTATATTACATATTTGTTACTGTCATGTTTGCCTGTCCAACAGCATAACAGAGCCTGAAGCGAAAGACGTTCACCGTAGCCTGAAGGTTGCTGCTGGAATATTCAAAAACCTCAAGGTGAGCTGTTCTGACAGACGAAGAAGTCTTCTCCTTAAGTCATGATAGAGTTGTAGGACCAATTCACTCCTAGTTTTTTACTGACATATAGTATCTGTACGATATACTGTGCACAACAATTAAATACACTGTTCACTAATATCTGTTTTGTGTGAATAATTAGGCTGATGAATTAATTTTGATTGATCATTTTCTGCTGGTGCAGATGATAATCAATCAGATTACTGTATATCCACCACCAGCTAAAGAAGACGCAGAGCACACACCAAAGTTCAAATTAAATAAAGTGCGTTTTATGAAAGTCCTCTAGTGACTACAGCAGTCATGTGGGATTTTTTTCCCAGCAGCCTGAAACAACAGCACATCCTGTTCCTTTATGTCCTCTGCAGCACACAAACCTCAGTCGGAATAACAAAGTCTCTCAAGCACAAAGCAGTAGCTTTTATGTAATACAACTATTTTTCCGGCATGTTTCCTACAGGAGGTTCACATCCCTCGCCTCATCACCCCGGCTGAGAAGGGCCGAGACCTGGAGCCCAGAGTGATCGATGCTTACATCATCCAGTGCCAAGCAGAAGCACAGGAAGGTGCAGTAGCTACATATTTAGACTTGAGTACTGCACTAGCCACTATAAAGCTTTATGAACTTGTACTAATTTTTAACCATAGCTAGCATGTGGCATGTTTGTCAGACACATTTCTATGATTTTAATACACTTTTTTTTCTTTAACTATTTTTATCTAATAATAGCTATCTGTTGAAGTTTTTACCTGTAATTCTTTTTTTGACATCTAAAATTACTTTATCTTCTTAACCTTTCTTGTGTTGCTTGGCTCCAGAGGTGTATTTTTCTTTCCTTACTATGTAACCATTGTGAGCTGTGATAGTAAACCGAGCTTAACACTGTGAAACAATAGCAGTCATGATGTCAGCCTGATGTCTTGTATTGTTAATTTAGTTTTTTTTTTATCGAAGCCTGAGCGTGTCAATAGCAGATCTAAGTCCGAGACAGAATGTCCCCCTGAGGCCCAATAAAGTTGTTATTATCCATTGTATCACGAGACAATAATAATACAATCAGAATAATCAATCACTTGTGTAATATGTTATTTAGAAACACTTAACCTTTAAGCTGGGCAGCTCTGACATTACAACGGATTACAGATCAGGATTTTTGATTTAAAAATATATATATATGGGGGTATTCCCAGACCAAGCTCAGAGTCTGGTGACAGCAGATACTCATGGGACTGATGAAAATAACTAGTAATCCATAATCATCTTTTTTACAGTGACAATTGCCAGAGCAATTGAACTGAAGCACAATGCCACACTCATCGCAGCGCTGGCATTTGAAACAGCAAACTTCTATCAAAAAGCTGGTCAGTATTTTTGCACTTATGAATGATACTTATGCAAATAAGGTCAGTTACCAAAGGCACAGTTGAAGCCATTAAGATTTTATAACTGTCTATTAAAGGTCAGTGTTTCTGTTTTCAGACCACACATTGAACACCCTGGAGCCAGAGTGCAGCAGCAAGTGGAGGAAGTATCTTCAGCTGAAGCAGCACTTTTACATGGCTTATGTAAGTTCATGCACATCCTGATGCAGTTCACAAATCATCCTTGTGGATTTTAACACCAAACTAACAGAGGTCTTTTAACTTGCAGTGTATTTATATATAGGAAGTTCACTGAGCATATATGTGCTTCTGATGTAGCCCTCTCCCATTTACAACAACAAGAAAGGAAAATTATAATCCATCCTTTGTTTCTTCTGCATATACTGTCATATGGTTATACTCATTAATTGTGTTTGCAGGCATACTGCTATCATGGGCAGACACTGCTGGCAAGTGACAAGTGTGGTGAGGCTATAAGATCTCTCCAGGAAGCAGAAAAGTGTACGTATGTTAAAACATGCTTTTGTCCCTTATTGGTGCTATATTGACAAAAGACACAGTTGTGTTAGGACACACAGACAAAGCAAAACAACTAATGTAGTTACAGTGAAGATGTTAATCTGGTTAATTGAACACAAGTTAATTGTTGTGTTGTATAAAAGATGTTCTGTAATGATTAAATGCATAAATATTTTAATAAATAATAATAGCAGTGACAATGGGACATGGTGATGATGTGGGTTTTGTGCAGATAAAAACTGTATGTATACAATCAGCAGTCAAACTTGATAAAAAACAAAAATAAAAATTGTAGATTATTGCCCCAAAATAGGGTTTAAAACCTTTTTCCTATGTGTGCACAAGGTTTCACTTGCATCAGTGCAAACATTATGTTTTGTTTAATATTTTTCCTATTCGGGTGTTATAAAGCAGATGACTGGCTTATTGTAGGGAGGGGCGGGACATGTGTCACACGTCTCAGTGGATGATAATAACAACCAGAGCCACATATATAATTAATCTATCAATGAACAATAACAATATTAATACTATTATTATCATCACCACTGCAATTATAACAGTGGCAACAGTAACAATAATGTTGACATTATGATGATGTTGATAGCATTAACTAACATCAATAATATCAATAACAATGTTGATAATTGTAGGTAGAGTGACAATAATAACATAGTAATAACCTACAAATAATAATAATAACACCAGCTCCTCTTCCTTTGTTTTTTCCCTTATATACATGTATGTGTGCGTCCAGGTGCAGTGAAAATAGTTGATAGTAGATATTAGTGCAGATGCAAATACATTTTGATAATTAGTAGTAGAAAAATAACAAGTTCCAATAGAATCACAACTGTATGAAATGAATGAAAGATGACCTGACTGGTTGGAGCTGCTGTTTTTTAACTACATACCACAGCCAGTGATTCAGCTTTAAGCTCTGGTTAACTGTGGTTTTGTCCATTTAACTACAACAACGAACACATAATACTGACATTAATACACTCATTGTGTGTGGTCACGGAAAGCACGAGTCAATCATATGACAGAAGTGTGTTAGTTATATTATGCACAGTTATTATGAATGCATTTATTGTTACGTTCACTTTGTCTTCTGCAAAATAGCTTAAATCAGTATGCATCTAATTAGTCTGTGGACAAGAGCAGCGAGTATAAAGGGTTAGAGTTGACAGGGTGCAGTGATGTTTAAATGCTATGCTCTCTTGGGTTCAGTAACATGTTGCTGAAGCACATTACTTGAACAGAGGTCATGATGCAGATGTTTCCTCTGTGTTTGTTTCCTGTGTGTTGCTGTAGAGTTGTGTTTTTATTTTTTTCTTGCTTCCCTAGATTTTGTTGTGTGTTAACATGAAGACGTTTCTGTTTAGGTTACTCCCGTGCTGAGGCGCTGTGTAAAGAGTATCGTCAGACCAAAGGCCCGGGCACCACAGCCAAACCATCAGAGCAGCTGTTCTTCCTCAAACTGGGCGGCGTCATTAAAAACACACTGGAGAAGTGCCAGAGAGAAAATGGCTTCATGTGAGTGAGTCAGGGCAGACACGCACACATGCACGCAGACTCACATATTGTATCTGTATCTCTGACAAAATGGCAAACACAGTCATATGTTAGTGGAAGTATTTATGTGTTTACACAGTTTCAGATGTACAAGAAAATCTACAGTAATGTTAATTTAGTAGCGTTGATGGCGACATCTTTCGTAGATATATTTGGTCATTTTCTTTTTGTATGAGATCTGATCATTTTACTCCCTTTCATGATTGATTTTGTTTAGTGAAGAATATCAGCTTCTCTGAAAATCCTGACCCCAGCATTGTTTCCAAAAGTCTCAATGTTATGGGCTCGAAAACTCTGGAGTAGTGTGGACATCAGGTGTGAACGTAGCAAAAGAGATGCATTTTAAAACTAAAACTTAGTAGTGTGGTTGTACCCTAAACAAAACATGCATACTCATCCCCAGTTGTAAAATATTTGGTTGCTAAATAAATCTACACTAAAGCCTCTGTGATTTAAGTGGCAGAGATCGACATTATCAAAACTCCAGAAAATCTGCTCTTCAACACAACATTTTTCCCAATTCTTCTCCTTCTAAATTGCAACTCTGGACATATTTCCTCAGATACTTCCACAAGGTCCCAGCTGAGGCACCCCAGCTGGAGTTGAAGGCGAGCTACGGCCTGGCTGAGCCAATCCTGTTCGAGCTGCCGTCTCTCAGCGAGCAGTGCACTGCTGAAGTCTACGCCACCTTTGACCTGACCAAGGGAGCCAAAAATGACAAGGTACTGCAGCTCACCCCAGAGTATATGTCAACATAGGCTGGATGACACTACACACCAACACAAAACTCTCAAACAAAAGTAAACTGATTACGTTTAATAGTTAAATTGTGATTCTGAGATTTGTTGTTTCATATGTGTGTTGTTGTTGCTTTAACTTCAGGCCAAACCCAAGGAGGAGGAGGTGAAACCAGTGAAGGAGCCAGATTTGAAGCCTCAGAAGGACACAGGCTGTATCGTCTCCTAAACCTTCCTCAGACTTCATTTTCAGCCTCACGCTTCAGTACCATCGATTATAATGATGGCGTCTATATTTCCTCCCATTCCCTCCACCATAGCAAAATGTATATTTTTTTGTGACATTAATCCATGGTGTTTTACATTTATGCTGAAACATGTGTATTGTATTTGGGTATAACAACCATTATCATTGCACTTAAGCCAGAGCCAGTTAAACATAATAGAATGTGGCAACATCCTCAAAACAGCTATTCTATGACATTAAACACAAACAGCATGTCTATAAAATAAACCTGAAACAGTTCTTTCAGGTCAGTAATTAGGTTCTTATCTTGAAGAAGCCTTATGGTCAATGTAGTTCCATTAATGGTGCCTTTGGCTGCAGGGTAAACCTTTTCACTGTGTTTTACACAAGTGTCTGGGTTTTGGCACTGGCCTCATGATAGATGATTCAAACAATGGAAATTGGTCTGTTAAACATACTGAATGACCTCAGGACAAAGATCCAAACAAAATACAGGGACTGGTTTTTATACTGAATATCTACCACTACATAGACTATGATGAAATGATCTGAAAAATCTGAGTAATTATAGGAAGTGCAGTCACATAATCGACCTGTAAACTAAAATACTTTTAGATGAATAGAATAAATTTCCAGCTGAGATTTGTTCAGAACTACATTGTAAAAAAACAAGACTGCATGTGTTATTGCTTGGTGCAGGTTTGTTTTTAGCTGTAGCAGTTTACAATCAATATTTAATTTAGCTCACATGACGTATGTACTGTAGTTCTTTTTGTACATGACATAGCTGTTTTCTACTTTGACTTCTCATGGATAAGGCTGAATCATTCTTTAACATGGTGTTTACCATTTTGGGGATATTATCCCTGATAGGTTTTAATTTATTTCTTTTCGTCTGTAGTGATAGTTTAGTTGACGACTTACAACACTTATGACAGTATACAGCTTTATGAAACTCGAATCATGTTTTTGGTGATTTTATTATGTTTCAGTGGATACATCAGAGTAGCTACTGATATATATATATATATATAAACAATGCTTACTCCTGTAAACTGTTGCTGAGAGTTCTGTTGTCAGTAGTTGACACAATGTATGTGCTTATGTACATGTACTGATTGTTATATTCTCCCTTAAAGACAAAAATCTGGGAAGTGTGAACACACGGGGGGGCTGCTCCAACTGCTTCACAGAAGTTGCTCACATTGTCAAAACTCACCCACTTAATGTAGTCGCATCAGATGAAGGATAACTATCAATTGCTGGAAACTTGTATAAACTGTAATATACAACTCACGTGTATTCATACTCTTCATATCCCCACACATCATTATTATCTTACCTGAGCTGGACTAGTCGTGAAAGAGCAGACAAGCGTACCTTCTTACTAAACTTCTATATTGCACATAGTATTCAGTTGTGCAGGGAGCTCTGTTGGTTAAGACACTTCGTCTTCTTGTGGTCTGGTTTGGTTCTAACTGACATACTGGTTTATGACACTTTGAGCGTTGAATTGAGTATAGAGGCATAAATCAGAGCAAGTTCTTTTTTCCTTTTAAGACAACTGTTTATTAAAAGGGTGTGTTGAGTCATCACTCCAGTGTACACTCTTGTTGCTCATTATTTGCCCTCTAATGGTGTCTGTCATGTAAAGTGTATTTCAGATGGTATTAAATCATTCACAAAACTCAATTGCTTCATGTCTTATGTTTGTATGTGAAAACATGATTGTTCAGTCATATAATTATTAAGATGTAAGCCATGAGGTGTGGACGTCGGTATGATCAGTAATGTGGGTGCATGTGCGCATGAATGGTATGTATGAAGTGTGAGCTGTTGTCTGCATGAACACAAATGCAGAATGAGCCGAGAGAGGGCCCAAAGACAGCAAGAAGAGGCAGCCTCTAACAGGGCTGAAACACTTGGCCCAGGTGCTTTGAACTAGGTGATCTAGGTGTAGCTCCGCCCTCCAGACACCTGTGGCACAAATTGGAAAAAAGAACAATAACTTAAATAGAAGTCAGAATGATGGGCCAGGGATCCTTCACATTCACTGTACTATGACTTTTTTTTTTATGTTTTTATGCCTTATCATACTACAACATTTTTTGCCGATTTTATGCCGTATTACAGTATGACGTTTTATGCCTTAATATACTAAGACGTTTTTTGGCGTTTTTATGCCTTAACATAGAATGACGTTTTTTTTATGGTTTTATGCCATACTATACTATGACATTTTTATGCCTTAATATACTATGACGTCATATGCGTTGCTATAGTATGACGTTTTTTTGACATTTTTATGCAATTCTATACTATGACGTTTTTATGCTTTAATATAGTATGACGTAATATGCCTTGCTATTGTATGACATTTTTTGACGCTTTTTATATCTTTATGACGTTTTTATGACATACTGTACTATGACGTTATTTGACCTTTTTATGCCATACTATACTATGACGTTTTTATACCTTAATATACTATGATGTTTTTTTGACGTTTTCATGCCATACTATACTATGACGTTTTTTGACCTTTGTATGACATAGTATACTATGACGTTTTTATGCCTTGCTATAGTATGACATTCTTTTAGATTTTCATGCCTTACTCTACTAAGATCTTCTTCAATAATATCCTAGTAAATTTCATGGTACAGTGGTTAGCACAGTTACCTTGCGATGGGACGTGTCTTAGTTCGATTCCAAGTCTTCCTGGCAATGATTATCTTCTAATTTTGCTTCATCCCACAGTCCATCCTTACTATGATGTGACGTTTTTTTTTTAAAACGTTTTTATGTCTTAAAATACTATGATGTTTTTATACCTTGCTATATAATGACGTTTATTTTATGTTTTCATGCCTTGATATACCATGTCGTTTTTTCACTTTTTATGCCTTTTTATACTATATCGTTTTTACTTACTTTTTAGGCCTTACTATACTATGACATCTTTTTACCTTACTATATTATGACATTTTTTGATGTTTTTATGCTTTCAAATACCATATAGTTTTTTCACGTTTTTTTTCCATACTATACAATGTCATTTTTTCACTTTTTATGCCTTATTACACTGTCATTTTTTCACTTTTTTACACCTTACTATACTATGATGTCTTCATACCTTACTATACTATGACGTTTTTTGATGTTTTTATGCCTCCTTATACCATAATGTTTTTTCACTTTTTTTTGCCATACTACACTATGTCATTTTTTTTCACTATTTATGCCTTACTATACTATGACATTTATTCACTTTTTATGCCTTATTACACTGTCATTTTTTCACTTTTTTTTGCCATACTACACTATGTCATTTTTTTCACTATTTATGCCTTACTATACTATGACGTCTTTATACCTTACTATACTATGACATTTTTTCACTTTTTATGCCTTATTACACTGTCATTTTTTCACTTTTTTACACCTTACTATACTAGGACGTCTTTATACCTTACTATACTATGACATTTTTTGATGTTTTTATGCTTTATTATACAATGTCGTTTTTTCACTTTTTGCCAAAGTGGCCAAAGTGCCAAAGTGCCAAAGTGAAAAAATGACATGGTATAACCATGTCATTTTTTCACTTTTTGCCATGCTATACTGTCGTTTTTTCAGTTTTTATGCCTTTTTTTACTATGTCGTTTTTACTTACTTTTTAGGCCTTACTATACTATGACGTCTTTATACCTTACTATACTATGACATTTTTTGATGTTTTTATGCTTATTATACCATGTCATTTTTTCACTTTTTGCCATGCTATACTATGTCGTTTTTTCAGTTTTTATGCCTTTTTTTACTATGTCGTTTTTACTTACTTTTTAGGCCTTACTATACTATGACATCTTTATACCTTACTATACTATGACATTTTTTGATGTTTTTATGCTTTATTATACCATGTCGTTTTTTCACTTTTTGCCATAGTATACTATGTCGTTTTTTCACTTTTTTTTGCCATACTATACTATGTAGTTTTTTTTCACATTTTAGGCCTTACTATACTATGACGTCTTTATACCTTACTATACTATGACATTTTTTATTGTTTTTATGCTTTATTATACCATGTCGTTTTTTCACTTTTTGCCATAGTATACTATGCCGTTTTTTCAGTTTTTATGCCTTTTTTACTATGTCATTTTTACTTACTTTTTAGGCCTTACTATACTATGACATCTTTATACCTTACTATACTATGACATTTTTTGATGTTTTTATGCTTTATTATACCATGCCATTTTTTCAATTTTTGCCATAGTATACTATGTCGTTTTTTCCCCTTTTTTTTGCCATACTATACTATATAGTTTTTTTCACATTTTAGGCCTTACTATACTATGACGTCTTTATACCTTACTATACTATGACATTTTTTGATGTTTTTATGCTTTATTATACCATGTTGTTTTTTCACTTTTTGCCATAGTATACTATGTCGTGTTTTTCACTTTTTTTGCCATACCATACTATGTAGTTTTTTTTCACATTTTAGGCCTTACTATACTATGCCGTCTTTATACCTTACTATACTATGACATTTTTTGATGTTTTTATGCTTTATTATACCATGCCATTTTTTCACTTTTTGCCATAGTATACTATGTAGTTTTTTTTCACTTTTTTTTGCCATACTATACTATATAGTTTTTTTCACATTTTAGGCCTTACTATACTATGCCGTCTTTATACCTTACTATACTATGACATTTTTTGATGTTTTTATGCTTTATTATACCATGCCATTTTTTCACTTTTTGCCATAGTATACTATGTAGTTTTTTTTCACTTTTTTTTGCCATACTATACTATATAGTTTTTTTCACATTTTAGGCCTTACTATACTATGCCGTCTTTATACCTTACTATACTATGACATTTTTTGATGTTTTTATGCTTTATTATACCATGCCATTTTTTCACTTTTTGCCATAGTATACTATGTAGTTTTTTTTCACTTTTTTTTGCCATACTATACTATATAGTTTTTTTCACATTTTAGGCCTTACTATACTATGCCGTCTTTATACCTTACTATACTATGACATTTTTTGATGTTTTTATGCTTTATTATACCATGCCATTTTTTCACTTTTTGCCATAGTATACTATGTAGTTTTTTTTCACTTTTTTTTGCCATACTATACTATATAGTTTTTTTCACATTTTAGGCCTTACTATACTATGCCGTCTTTATACCTTACTATACTATGACATTTTTTGATGTTTTTATGCTTTATTATACCATGCCATTTTTTCACTTTTTGCCATAGTATACTATGTAGTTTTTTTTCACTTTTTTTTGCCATACTATACTATATAGTTTTTTTCACATTTTAGGCCTTACTATACTATGCCGTCTTTATACCTTACTATACTATGACATTTTTTGATGTTTTTATGCTTTATTATACCATGCCATTTTTTCACTTTTTGCCATAGTATACTATGTAGTTTTTTTTCACTTTTTTTTGCCATACTATACTATATAGTTTTTTTCACATTTTAGGCCTTACTATACTATGCCGTCTTTATACCTTACTATACTATGACATTTTTTGATGTTTTTATGCTTTATTATACCATGCCATTTTTTCACTTTTTGCCATAGTATACTATGTAGTTTTTTTTCACTTTTTTTTGCCATACTATACTATATAGTTTTTTTCACATTTTAGGCCTTACTATACTATGCCGTCTTTATACCTTACTATACTATGACATTTTTTGATGTTTTTATGCTTTATTATACCATGCCATTTTTTCACTTTTTGCCATAGTATACTATGTAGTTTTTTTTCACTTTTTTTTGCCATACTATACTATATAGTTTTTTTCACATTTTAGGCCTTACTATACTATGCCGTCTTTATACCTTACTATACTATGACATTTTTTGATGTTTTTATGCTTTATTATACCATGCCATTTTTTCACTTTTTGCCATAGTATACTATGTAGTTTTTTTTCACTTTTTTTTGCCATACTATACTATATAGTTTTTTTCACATTTTAGGCCTTACTATACTATGCCGTCTTTATACCTTACTATACTATGACATTTTTTGATGTTTTTATGCTTTATTATACCATGCCATTTTTTCACTTTTTGCCATAGTATACTATGTAGTTTTTTTTCACTTTTTTTTGCCATACTATACTATATAGTTTTTTTCACATTTTAGGCCTTACTATACTATGCCGTCTTTATACCTTACTATACTATGACATTTTTTGATGTTTTTATGCTTTATTATACCATGCCATTTTTTCACTTTTTGCCATAGTATACTATGTAGTTTTTTTTCACTTTTTTTTGCCATACTATACTATATAGTTTTTTTCACATTTTAGGCCTTACTATACTATGCCGTCTTTATACCTTACTATACTATGACATTTTTTGATGTTTTTATGCTTTATTATACCATGCCATTTTTTCACTTTTTGCCATAGTATACTATGTAGTTTTTTTTCACTTTTTTTTGCCATACTATACTATATAGTTTTTTTCACATTTTAGGCCTTACTATACTATGCCGTCTTTATACCTTACTATACTATGACATTTTTTGATGTTTTTATGCTTTATTATACCATGCCATTTTTTCACTTTTTGCCATAGTATACTATGTAGTTTTTTTTCACTTTTTTTTGCCATACTATACTATATAGTTTTTTTCACATTTTAGGCCTTACTATACTATGCCGTCTTTATACCTTACTATACTATGACATTTTTTGATGTTTTTATGCTTTATTATACCATGCCATTTTTTCACTTTTTGCCATAGTATACTATGTAGTTTTTTTTCACTTTTTTTTGCCATACTATACTATATAGTTTTTTTTCACATTTTAGGCCTTACTATACTATGAAGTCTTTATACCATACTGTACTATGACATTTTTTGACGTTTTTATGCTTTATTATACCATGCCATTTTTTCACTTTTTGCCATAGTATACTATGTAGTTTTTTTTCACATTTTAGGCCTTACTATACTATGAAGTCTTTATACCATACTGTACTATGACATTTTTTGACGTTTTTATGCTTTATTATACCATGCCATTTTTTCACTTTTTGCCATAGTATACTATGTAGTTTTTTTTCACATTTTAGGCCTTACTATACTATGAAGTCTTTATACCATACTGTACTATGACATTTTTTGACGTTTTTATGCTTTATTATACCATGCCATTTTTTCACTTTTTGCCATAGTATACTATGTAGTTTTTTTTCACATTTTAGGCCTTACTATACTATGAAGTCTTTATACCATACTGTACTATGACATTTTTTGACGTTTTTATGCTTTATTATACCATGCCATTTTTTCACTTTTTGCCATAGTATACTATGTAGTTTTTTTTCACATTTTAGGCCTTACTATACTATGAAGTCTTTATACCATACTGTACTATGACATTTTTTGACGTTTTTATGCTTTATTATACCATGCCATTTTTTCACTTTTTGCCATAGTATACTATGTAGTTTTTTTTCACATTTTAGGCCTTACTATACTATGAAGTCTTTATACCATACTGTACTATGACATTTTTTGACGTTTTTATGCTTTATTATACCATGCCATTTTTTCACTTTTTGCCATAGTATACTATGTAGTTTTTTTTCACATTTTAGGCCTTACTATACTATGAAGTCTTTATACCATACTGTACTATGACATTTTTTGACGTTTTTATGCTTTATTATACCATGCCATTTTTTCACTTTTTGCCATAGTATACTATGTAGTTTTTTTTCACATTTTAGGCCTTACTATACTATGAAGTCTTTATACCATACTGTACTATGACATTTTTTGACGTTTTTATGCTTTATTATACCATGCCATTTTTTCACTTTTTGCCATAGTATACTATGTAGTTTTTTTTCACATTTTAGGCCTTACTATACTATGAAGTCTTTATACCATACTGTACTATGACATTTTTTGACGTTTTTATGCTTTATTATACCATGCCATTTTTTCACTTTTTGCCATAGTATACTATGTAGTTTTTTTTCACATTTTAGGCCTTACTATACTATGAAGTCTTTATACCATACTGTACTATGACATTTTTTGACGTTTTTATGCTTTATTATACCATGCCATTTTTTCACTTTTTGCCATAGTATACTATGTAGTTTTTTTTCACATTTTAGGCCTTACTATACTATGACATCTTTATACCTTACTATACTATGACATTTTTTGATGTTTTTATGCTTTTATGCTTTATTATACCATGTCGTTTTTTCACTTTTTTTGCCACACGATACTTTTTTTTTTCACATTTTAGGCCTTACTGTAGTATGATGTCTACTATACTATGTCATTTTTTGATGTTTTTATGCTTTTATGCTTTATTATACCATGTTTATTTTCCACTTTTTTTGCCATAGTATACTATGTCGTTTCTTTCACATTTTAGTATATTATGACATCTTTATACTTTACTATACTATGACATTTTTTTGATGTTTTTACAATTTCTTACACCATGTTGTTTTTTAACTTTTTTTTATCCTGTTTTTTTTTTTTTCACTTTTTATGTCTTACTATACTATGATGTCTTCATACCTTACTATACTATGACGTTTTTTGATGTTTTTATGCCATACTAAACTATGACATTTGATGCCTTACTATACTGTGACGTTTGCATGACTTTTTCTGCCTTACCATAACTATGACGTTTTCTGCCTTACCATTCTTTGAGTTTTTTATGTCTTGGTACATTATAACATTTTTATGACTTACCATCACAACCCAGCTCTGAGGCAATGAAAAAAAGCAAGGGAATGAAGTTTTGACAAACAACAATGCATTTATTAACAACAAAATTATGTCAGTATGATTAGTAATGTGGGTGCATGTGTGCATGAATAGGACATATTAAGTATGAGGTGTTGACTGCATGAACACAAACGCAGAATATGCAGAGGAGCGAAGAGAGAGCCCAAAGACAGCATGAAGAGGCGACCTCTTACAGGGCAGAAACACTAGGCCCAGGTGCTTCGAACTAGGTGATCTAGGTATAGCTCCTCCCTCCAGACACCTGCGGCATAAATGGGAAAACAGAACAATAACTGAAACAGAAATTACAATGATAGGTCAGGGATCTGTCAGACTTTCTATACCATGAGTTTTTTGCCTTACTACATAATGACGTTTTATGCCTTATTGTACTATGACACTTTTATGACTTTTTATGCCCTATGACACTATGACGTTTTGATGACATTTTATGCGTAAGTATACCATGATGTTTTTATGATTTTTATGACTTACTATACTATGATTTTTCATGGGGCAGCATGGTGGTGCATTGGTTAAAACTGTCGCCTTACTCTGAGAAGGTTCTGAGTTCAAACCTCAAGCCTAGGGCCTTTCTGTGTGGAGTTTGCATATTCTCCTTCTCCGGCTCCTCCTGTAGTCCAAAGATATGCACATTAGGTTAATTGGTGACTTTAATACCTTACTGTACTATGACTTCTTTTTTTATATATTTCTTTTTAAATTTAAACATACATGTCTATCTTTTATAATAATTTGTACATGTAATGACAGGATTTGTGATGGATATATATTTATCTAACATATGTCTATAATATAAACAGACATACTAAAATACATGTTTCTATTAGCTAGACATATATGTCAGTATATGATGAAGATATTGTTCCAATTTCCTAACAGGTTTCATATGTAATTTTTACATATATAGGTTATTTTAAATACATATATGATTTTACTTCATCTGTACATATATTTCATATATGGAAATTCAACACAGGTGCAAACATTATATTTGCGTACGGGCATTCCCGAATGTAAATTCAGATCTTTCATGTTAATAAAAAAAAGCAATTCTCTTTGTTTTGGCGGTGTGGCAGTGTTCCTACCAATGTTGAGACCAAACCTACACCCTTGGTTGCATCACAGTGACAGCGCTCTAACCACTTGCCTGTGATAAGGTTTGCACTGCTGTATTTGCAGTTTCAGGTTTCACGACTAATCCTGATTCCTGTAGTTGTTTTTCTCCACACAGCAGAGTGTGGATGGGCATAAAGTACAACTGTGACATGACAGAGAGAACCTACAGTGCTGCGTTGGAACGCCAAAGAAAGACTTAAAATACCTGCAGAATGAACAACCAGGAAGTAAGTGCTGTAATAATGAGATAGACAAACAGAGATGTTAGCTTAGGCTGTGTGCAGTAACACGCCAGCAAAGGTGTACATTGACTTTCAACAGGTGTTTGTGACCAGTCACTGGTAAATCTTCGCTCTAGAGTCTAATATAGTTGGTATATAAAAACGCAACGTGCTGGACATAGTTAATGAGCAATAAAGTTAACATGTCAGGTAACATATTAAAGAAAATCATAATAAAAGTTTATGTAAAAACCGGTCCAATCTGTCAGGTAATAGACACCCAGGAGACAGACTTTTCCGGTCCTCTACCATCCAAACAGAAGAAGATAATTCACTTCTCCAGCGGCGAAACTCTGGAAGAGGAAGACAGTGAGGAGGAAGAGGAGCCTGCATCAAACAGACCTCCCTTCAGAGAACCTACAGAGAGGGTGAGAAACGTTTTAAGGGAGAAGATTCATGTTAAGATGTTAAGCATCAGACATATCACGTCTGTTTTATCTGTTCCTTCTTTCTTAGACTAGGTTTTCATTCAAGAATGTGGCCATTCTAGTTGGGAGGATTTCACTGCTGAGTATGTAATGTTACAATTAAATACATTCAAACCATAATTAATAACTAATTCTAGCTATTTAAGAGTTTCACTGAGTTTCCATGTCATTTGTTTTCAAAATTAGCTTGTGATTTCCGTGGAGAGAGACTAGCTGGTGCACTTGGACTGAATGCAGCCAAATACCAGTACGCCATAGATCAATATCGGCATGATCACAAGGTAATGTAAAATTTAACAGCAACTAAAAAGTACTCTGTCAAAACGTTTTCTATTCTGTGTTATCGTAGAGGCTTGTTGTTAAATAAAAGTGTGATCTGCCAGGGCTAAAAGGGGATGAAATTGCTGTTAACAAGTCACTTTTTGGCAAATAAGTGGTTAGTTCCTTGTGTTTCACTCCCTGTATTTCCTCTGTCTCGCTCAGAAAACAAGCAGCCAAACCACAGATGGCCTCATGGAGGGACAGGCAGAGACAATCCAGCTCTCTCCTGGACATAATGATGAGAGTCATTATGGAGCTACTGGAGGTGCAAGACACCCTGCTGATCCCCTGGATGAGAAACATATGAACAGAAAAGAAGGATACCACAACAGAAGCTACCAAGCAGATGAGGATTGTTTGAAATAAAACTTGAAGAAAAGAAAGAGAGTTGTGATTTGATGTGCAAGTCCACTGTGAAACAGAAATAATGCATGTTGCTTTCTTTGTATAGTGTGGTAATGTTACAACAGAAGTATGTGAAGAAAAAAACATCACACTTGACAAACCGAAGATTTCAGTGTGTGGCTGATGGTCCAATTTGGATTATGTAATTCCCCAAGACAAAATGGAGTACTCTATCATGAAATCATAAACATCTGGTTTGTCAAATTAATCAGAGAAACGGCTGAGTTTTATACAATTAGGTCTTAAATAAAATATGTACATCCCCAGAAAACACCGCGTTTTGCCCAGCTTTATCTTTGGCAATATAAATAAAAATACACATTGCCGACGAGGATGGGATTCGAACCCACGCGTGCAGAGCACAATGGATTAGCAGTCCATCGCCTTAACCACTCGGCCACCTCGTCTGCGTACTAAGACTTTTAAATTACAACCTATATGTATTACATAAGTGTATCCGTTGAAATGATGTTTACTGTCGTTTCAAACGGCTGAGCTTAGCCACTTTTCAAAATGCTTATCTTATGTTACCTAACTTATGCTATGGGAGGAATGTACTTTGCTGGTAGACCGTGTTACTTTGCTAACAAGCCAAGCTAACGCTAGCTACGGCTAACATTTGGAAAGTAGTGGTTAACATTTGTGCCCCTTCCATTACCCTTTCTTCTATACACAATAACTAAACACAACACATATGCATGGTGGACCTTAGCGTAGATTTTCAGAAGTTGGCGTTATCTTACGTTACGCTTTCCACAACACCGCTAATGTTAACAAGAAGTTGTTGTGCTAACTAATATGCCACACTTTGTTCAAAGATTAAACGCTTTAAACGCATCACATTTCCTTCAGTACCTTTACTGAGGTCTGTGTGTTATCATAACTAACACAACATGACTAACACAACACCTCTGCTTTTAACTGTGTCTTTGAGTCATCTTTTATACCACTGCAGTTTGCAGATTCGCAATATCATAAATATAAACTATTTAACATGTTCAGAGTTTCTGTTTTCAGTGTTTTAATTGTAGAACCCTTTACAAAACTCAGTTTACACTTATTTTTAAGAGCACTAAATAACGTATTACGTTTGTGCAGTAAAAAAAAACTCAGAAAAAAGCCAAAACAACACAGCTTGTCGCCTATGTATGACGTCTGCCTTACCTGTGTGTATTCTGTGCATCCATGTGTGTGCGTGGCCAGTCAAACAGGCTGAAGCTACTGGTGCATAAAGGAGGTTTACTGGCAACCTGCTGTCTGTAAGCTGAGGGACAATAGTCTGTATGGGGGGGGGGTTTGTCTCTGCTGCCCATCACAAGTTATTGGACACAGTTTACGCTCCGTTAGTTTGAGAAATATGACCAAACATGACACTTAACTAGAGTATGGCATAGGAAGCTGCGGATCCAAAGGTCGCCGGTTCGGTTCCCGACTGGAACATGTTGCTACCCGAAATTACCAAGCATTGTAAATCTATCAAATATCACTTAAGTGATACAAATTGGATGGGGACTTCTTGTGAATGCCATACAACCAAATAGCAGTTCATTATGTTGTTTAGTGTTTACATAATGTCAAAATTTTATTATTAATAATGAAATAATAATAAACTTTATATAGCAATGTAAGAAATATTTGTAAAAATCACCACACCTAGACACATACATTTTGAATTTACTTTTGGATAGAATATATTTTATATTAATTTTTAAATTTCTGACCAATGAATACAATAAGTATTGAAAGCACTGCAACAATGTCATTCTGACTGATTAGTTTGCATGCTTTCATGCAATGTGGAACTGTTTGAAATACTATTCTGTTCCTTTGTTGTATTTTCATTATATGCTAGTGTTTGAATAAGTGAAAGATACTTCTGTAGAAATATAGCAAATTTATTACAAATTTCACACCTTAATTCTTCCCCACACACAGACACACACCTATAATTGTAGCACACATACTAAGAAATAAATGAAGTGTATGAAATAAAATAAATAAAATATAATAAATGAACTAGAAATAGAAGATAAATAAGGCTAGGAAACTATTAGAATAAGACTAAAATATAACAACATCATTTTTTTTCTTTTAAAACTATTTACATCATGTACACATAGAGACAAAGAATGTCACAAAGCAATTTTTTATCTGCCCTTTTCCTCTGCATCTCCTCCATCCACTGATCAACTGGCATGTTGGCTTTTTGGGGACAGTATATGTGTCCATAATACTGACTGACCAGTTTCTTTATTGCGGGGCTGCTGGCACTGACCACATTTATTCTTTTCAACTGTCTGGGTGTAAGCCCTGCGGGCAGGTGGTGGGGAGGGAAGCAGGCCAGAAGGAGCGATCTGTTGGGCTCCAGGTACTTGTGGGGTTAAAAATATAAATGGAGCGATGACAGGGCTGGGGTTGGGGACAACAGGCAATGCGGCAGATGTAGGTGGAGGTGCCGGCTGAGGGAACAACTGCCTCTGAGCTGCAGACTTCCTCTTGACCACTGCCTGTCCTGCTGTACTGTGGGGCAAGTGGTACTGATGCTGGGGGCCAGGGCGTGGGGGTGCAGCTGCGGGGCGCACCTGTACAGGTGGGAGAGTGCGCAGCGAGCAACTGGAATAGAGACAGGGCAAGTTTTGACCCCTTGAAGCAGAAATACCTCACTTACTGTCCCTGCCTCTTCAGTCTCGTCTGTTGCTTCACCATATGAAACCCAAGTGTTGGTTTAGACTGATGCTCCAAAACAATCTGCAAGAGTATGCTCTGCATTACTGTGCCATTACCCAGGACCACGCTGGCCGCATCTTCTTCTGTAGTCCGTGACCGACTCAGTCCATTCTCTGTCAGTGCGCCGTAACTTGCCCTGTTTTTTGGGCGCTCTTTTGCAATGTTACCGGTGCCAGCGCAGCATAACCGCTCGCTCGCTGCGTCATATTGCCAAAGTTCTGCCTCAGGGCTATCATTGTACCTGGCTGTTGGTTGCCTGGAGTGTTTGGCCAGCTTACTCTCAGCCTCCACCAAGTAACTCTGCCAGGCCGTCCCACTCCGGTCCAGCACCTGGCAGATTACCGCGCTCCATCGACGGCCTGGAACAACTATCAAGACGTACATCAAGACATTCGAAAGATCACGAGCAAAAGTAACACATCTGTCCCACACGCTCTAGACTTGTTCACAAATATGACTTACCAACTGTTGCTCCAGGTGCTGCTGGCGGTCATGGCAGGTTCTTCGCACAGAGGACCAGCATGTTTGAGTGCGAGAGTAATGCGTAGGATGGTGACTGTATGGGATGGGGCGGAGGCCTGTGCTGGATGACAGCTCTCTGGCCACGACGGAGCGTGTTGTCGCGCTCATACAATACAGAACAAAAAATAAATACATATATAATATCTTACTATCTCTATAATTATACTCTCTCTGTTTTCGTACCTTATATGTCTCTAAAACCCAATGTAAGTACCCTCCCTAGTCTTTGTGTCCGTACGGTGCACGCTATTATCTCTCTTCGAAGTATATCCGTATATTTCTATCTTCTTCCAGGCTGCCTTCTCGGGTGGATGGTTGATGACCCAGCAGCACGCTGCGTGAGCAGCAGCAGTAAAGTGCGGTCTGTCGCGTCGCGTCGCACGACTCGTATGTGTGGTGTGGGGCGAAGGAGGGACAGTGAGGCGAAGCTGCTGGTCGAGGACCTTCTTTTGCGAGTCACAAATTGAAAGCCTTGAAACAAACAATACAATTGGAAATAAAAACTTGCACGACTGCTATACCACAAATAAAACAGAGTTTGATATGTCAGCATTAATAAAACACTATCACTGTTCATTGTAGGGAGCAAGGGTGATGGGTGAGTTGAAGAATAGGACAAGCAGTCTGCAGCAGGATCGTAGGTTAGCTGGAGGAAGGCCGGTGGGAGTTGGGAGGACAGGTGCAGAGCCGGTAGGGAGGGCTGATGGGCCAGAGTGACTATCTGTGCTCTCATGCACAATCTGTAAAATGTAATACTCTTTTAAAAACCAATTCTTATAAAACTGCATTTAACTAGAGTTTTATCATTGCCTTTTATCTACGTTTCTATTTCTTGATGGCGTTATGTTGTTTTTCTATGTAGTTCTTTGTTAACTTGTTTATGAAAAGTGCTATACAAATAAAGTTTAATATTATCATTATTATTATTATTATTACTATAATGCAATAAAATCAAAAATCATAAGAAAATACAGACATAGTACAATAAAAACATGTCGAGAATTATTACCAGTTGTTGCTCTGGTGATGCTGGAGCAATAGCAGATGCAGGACCAGCAGAGGCCTGAAGAGAGGTGGGAGTTGGAACGTGGGCTGAGCTGGTGGTGACAGATGAAGGTTCAGAGGACAGGTCCAGTACTTCAATGGTTGGGTCTAAACCAGTATCTTCAAAGCCCTCATCTTCCAGCTCCTCCTCGGTGCCGACATCCTCCAGCATCTGATCGGTCTCCTCTGAGTCAGGACGTACATCCTGCAAGGCCTTTCCAGTCTGACGGAATAGGTCATCTATACCTATTAGCTCCCCTGGGACACACAAGACAATACTAGAGAGAGGAAAATAAGCTTTCGCAAAATTCATAAAAAAAGATTATTCTATTTAATGGATACAACAAATAGCTTCACCATGATTGAAAGCTAAAACTAACCAGTGTAAACAGCAGGTGGCTGAAAAGAGGGGACAAGCTTCCTTCCAAGCACCCTGACACTGTGTGCGTTCACGCAATGAACAAGGTCTCCTGAGTAGCTGAGCAGGGAGGGAGGGTTGACTGCCAGGGATGCAGCTTCACGGTCCTGGTTCCATCTATTGAGTCCTTCCTTTGTACATCCAGTTGCCGCATGAAGTGGTAGATGTCAAGCTTGACAACCAGGTCTGGCCACCCACCAAATCTTTCTTTCAATTTGGTCTGTCCTCTGCCCTCTCGACAACAGTCACAGTCTACATAAAGTAGCCGAGGAGGAGCCACACCAGCATTGCTGTATCTGCGGACGAGGTCAGTTGCCACGATGTCCGAGGCAGGACCCTCCTGAGCAGTCAGGACACTGATAAGGATTTGGCCTTTCTCATTGCTCACAGATGTAAGCCACAAGGCCGTCCCCTTGGCAATGCCCTATAGCTTCTTGGTGATCTGTAATGGCACAGAAAAGACAGTGAATGATTAAACAATTTATTTAATTTAAATGTGAGCGCTCGTATAATAGTACTATGTTTCATTTCTAAAGCCAGCATCCACCTGTGTG